ATGCCCCAAATTCAAAATTGAAGAAAAGAAATGTTAACCGGGAGCTATTTTTGAGTTTTTGAATTTGTTCAATTAACAGTTGTCATCGTCTAGATATTTATTTTCTCCAATCTAGAATTATATATATATTCACTCGTTAACATCAATAAGAAGTAATTTAGTTTTCTCATTCTTAATCGGTTTCAATAATACTAGAAAGATTTGAAAAACAAAAATAAATTATCTCATCAAATATTTATGATATGTAGTGGTCGATCTGTAGTTTAATTGAACAAAAAAATTGAAAATCGAAATTTCATTTTTTTTCTTAAACTAGTGAATTCAATTAGGATGATTCAAATTTCAAGTAAAATTAATTTATTTTCTATAACTAAACCAATTAACTATATCACCGACTTGATTCGGCTTTTCAATTTTCTTTTTTTTTTTTTATGAAGAGAGAGCAAAGCTCAAAAAAATAATAATTAACGATATAGTCTAAGGTATGAAATCCCTCAACTATCATGCAATAATTAGTGTAGAGTTCGTAAGAAAGGATGATCAAGAACCTGAGTTTCTAGAGTAATTGTGCTAGCAAAATTAACCAAACTATGCTCATCCCTAATGATACGGCTTCACAACTTTGCATATTACGGCTTCACAACTTTGCATATATATATATATATATATTATATAATATATATATATATATATTAAATTCAGTTTGATTTTTGGTTTTTTTTATTTTACCCAAAACCAGAATCAATATATATATATAATTCAGTTTGATTTGGTTTTTTTATTACCAAAACCAAATCAAGCTATTGTTCAAAATACCAAATTAATATAGTCAAAATTGAATTGATTCCATTCGGATTTTTATAAATCAAACCGAATGCTCAACCACTAGTCAACCTTCATCTTCTTTTATTGCAAGATACAGAAAATGAATTATTGAGTACAGTCAATGCAAGAAGAAAAAAATTTAAAAAAATTAATACAATTATAGTTAAATATCTTTGTGTCGAAATAAAAATATCTATATGCTTCATGTCATTTTCTTCATTGCATGTCCACCAACATTGTTCATATACTATTCAAAGCATTTGCACTTTGCACTTTTCAAATTGATTTAATAAACAATTATATTATGTTAGTGCTAGCTTGATGACACGTCACCAATCACAACCATTTCACCCCTATTGCTCTCTAAATGATTCCTTCTGTTAATACTACATTTCTGGTTTTTAACATACCCTTCTGCAGTTTCTGCGGACTACTCTTTGCTGACGGACAAGGCTGCTCTTCTGGAATTCAAAAGTAATATAATTTCTGATCCGAATTCCATTCTTGCCAACTGGGTTGAGCCCGTTGATGTTTGCGACTTTATAGGTGTAATGTGTAACCAGGAGCACAACCGAGTGGAAGAACTCGATCTTTCCAGAAATGAACTCACAGGAAAACTTCCACCTGTTCTTGCAAATCTTACTGCTCTTAAAGTCCTGAAACTCGTCGAAAATCACTTTTACGATATTATTCCTACAGCATTGTCTTCTCTTCGACAGTTAAGACTTCTTCAGCTTGATACAAATAGTTTACAACGTTCAATACCATAATCTTTCACATTTCTTGCTAATCTTACTTTAATAACTCTTATGGAAATGTCCATCTGTCTGATAATTAGTGACAGGAAGAAATTGGAAATTGTCCGCGCTTGTGGACTATAAATTTATACAACAATCAACTAACAGGAAAGCTTCCTACTTCTTTGTCCAATACCTCATTGTATAGTATAGATGTAGAAAGTACCCATCTTTCTGGTGAATTACCTGCAAATGTTCACTTGCTTGGGAAATTTGGCTCAGCTTAATTATGTTTTTCTCAATAACAATTTCCTGTCAGGAATTATTCCTCCAACGTTGGGTCAGCTAACTGATATATTCAAGTTAGACCTATCTTATAACAAATTGACTGGAAAAATCCCTCAGGAAATATCAGGAATGCGGGGAATCAGAATGTTTCTGAACCTTTCACATAATAATCTTGACGGACCAATGCCAATTGAGCTAAGCAAGCTGGAAAATGTTGAAGAGATTGACGTTTCATCAAATAACCTAACTGGAATTATATTTCCTGAAATATCAAACTGCAGTTCATTGAGAAAGATAAATTTCTCCCATAATTCTCTTCGAGATAACCTTCCTGATTCAGTTGGTAATCTAAAGAACTTGGAAGCCTTTGATGTTTCAGGAAACAACATATCGGGAAGAATCCCAACAAGCCTTAAAAAGATCCAACAGGTGGAATCTTCAATTCAGTTACAAAATTGTCATTTTTAGGCAATCCAAATCTATGTGGTTCAAGTTCAGGAATGTCAACTTGTTCTAAAAAGAGAAATTGGTTCAACTGGGGTTTGTTCTTGATTATTACTTATTTCGTTACTTTGTTGTATGTTATAGTCAGTTTGCCGTTTTGTACTTTCTAAGTTTCTATCCATTCTCAGTGGACCTTGTTATTTGTGAACTTGGATGGATATCTTGCCTATTATACGTTTTAATCCTTCATGTTGGTATTAGGTATAGCCAAATAATTTTAATATTATCTAAAACTTCAAAGGTAAAATTTATTTTTAATCCCTTGAATTTATTGATTTTTCAGATTAAATTCTTAAACTTTTATTTGCGAACATTAAATCCTTCAACTTTTGTTTTTGTTAAAACTGAATACTTATTTAACTGAGATCATGAAATATGTATCAATGACGCAATGAAAATGAAGCATCTAACACGGTTCTCTTCTGTGCTTTGATTTTTATTTTATCTTTATTTCAATCTCCACATGAAATTATGAATTTTCTATATCACATTATCATTGGAGTCTATCTTCTTCTATTAGTGACTTCGATTTTCATTTGCTCTTAGTTTGTAAGGGTTTAATCTCAACAAAAACAAAAGCTGAAGAGCTTAATATTAACAAATAAAATTCAGAGATTCAATAAGCAAAATTTGATAAGTTTAGGAATTTAAATATGTATTTTCATCTAACTTTAAATACTTTCAATTTATAGAAAAAGGAAAAAAGAAATCATTAGACCAGAAATTACCCATTTTATTGTTGGTTAGGAATGTTATTGGGGAGCCACGACGGCCATGCAAGGTTGTTGATCACGAGATCAAAAGCCAAAATATTATTTGATCTGGCGAAAATTTTCCTCCGGTTACATATGAAAGTTTCTGCCAGCACGAAAATTTTCACATGAAAGTTTTTTTTTTTTTTTCTCTCTCGATATAATACGCTTAATTTTGCAACTTGTTAAAATTGCATCCTCTTCTGATGGTATTGTTATGTATTGGTCTTTTTAATTTTTACACTGAATTTTTTTCTATTATAAATAAACAGCAATAAAGAAATTATTAAACATATTCTTAACCTATGGCAGAAATCATTGTTAAGAAGCTGAAAAAAATTTTCAAGATTAGGAAAGTGGACTTATCCTTTTCATCTAAGCCTTGAGTTGAGTGGCATGGATCAGAAAACAAAATCTTCATCATCCTTTCTTTCCTATATTCTAAAAAAAGGAGCAAGTAATTTAGAATTGAGGGCACAAATTGTAAAAGACAAGAAAAAAAATGGTGCCCCCAAATTAAAATATGATTCAATCCTCAGGAAACAATTAAATGCAACAGATTTTGACTGCCACCATGCAATTTCCTTTTTTTTTTTTTTATTATTATTATTATTAGCACAGATTTTTGACTGGCCACCATGCATTTCCCTTTTTTTTTTTTTTAATTAATTATATTAATTATAATTTATTATTTTAAAACTTCTTTACAAGATTTCCAAATTGATGTTTTTAATTTTATCCAACTTTTTTTTTTTTTTATTATTATTATTATTATTATTATTATTTAAAACTTCTTTACAAGATTTCCAAATTGGATGTTTTAATTTTATCCAACAAGTTATCCCCAACACCATTTATCCTGATAGCGACATTGTCGACAACTACACTATAGGTGGCTCATCTTCATCTGCAACAATATTAATTTATGACAATAAAAACAATTTTATTCAATATTTTTTACTGAAAAATTGACGCACATAATATACTAGGAGGCCGTTTATTTGAGCTGAATCTGAATTACTATTTAATTTAGCTAAATGATTAAAAAATAATACCAAGAGCTAATTTTTTAATAATTAAGATATGATATATAGCGTCATTTTTTTTAATTATAGGGACAATTTTAATCATTTCATGGAATAAGTTACATAGCTTTTTCAATCACTTCTAAAACTAAACTTTAAAATCATTCATACAAATTTATTTCAATAAACTGCCATTAAGCTGAAATAAATAGCCCTTAAATGTAAAATTATTATTATTATTATTATTATATCCCTCGTGAGAAAAGTAGTGATAATTGGGGGCTCCTCAGGTTGAGATGACAGAGATTAGCATCATCTTGTTTCCAACGGGGAAAGCCGAAGATAGTGGCCTGTCATGAATAGCACTCAAATGTCAACTCAAACATTCTGGATTCAAGTAGCACTCACAGAACCACTACAATGTCAACGCCCCCTACCTCTTACTCAACCTGGCTTGGACAGAATAGCAGAGCAGGTACAACGATATTCAATTTATTTTTGTATCATCCAAATAAAATTTCCATTTGATCACAGTTTCTAAAAGAAATCACCAACAAATTTTCTCAACAACGTGGCGTCTATATGAACACTGCGTATCAAATGTCAACTCCCTCTCCTTCTCTCTGTGTGTCTGTGCGAGCACCCATGCACGATAGTACGAACGAGTCAAGCCACTTACAAACTACTCGGAGCTTGCCCCAACACAAATGCTTATTCAGTCTTGTTCCTCAAAAGCTAAAATAGCTAAAATTCGACTTAATTTTCAAACTCGTTTGATAAACAAGTCAGGCATAAATTATGTAAAGCTCTATCTATTCTCGTTTTAGGCTCGTGAGCTAGCTTGTCTATAACTTTAATTATACTCAAAATATAATTAAATTTTATGCACTTCATTATATAAAATTATAAAAAGAATAAATGTTACTCAAGTATTTCTGGTGTTTCAAATGATTTTATGAATAATTTATTTACAACTTAATTTTATGTGGGGAAAGAAAACCTTTAGTTGGATTTGGAGCATCTAAGCTCATGAAATTTGCAAGAGATGGTGATGCTCAACTCATTTGCAGCCCTACACACTTGAGTACGGCACGTGTATCCCTTTGTGTATCACATGTATGTGCAACTATGCGTGGCACAGCATATTCCAACAGCATAGGTTGAAATTTTGCACGCCTGTTAAAGAAGAATAACGATTAGCAATATAATTTTTTTTTTTAAGTTTAGTTGAAAATCTATTCATTGATGTTTCTATCCCATAATGGAAAAGATGCAATTAGACTTCCGGTCAACCCAAAAATCATAGCCTGCATTGAATTTTTCATATCCAATCCAAAAGGTATATCGCTTTCACCAATATCTTCTATCATTCTGTCAAACCACCTTATCAAAAATCTCTCTCTCTCTCTCTCTGTATGTGTTTAAAGTTTCCAATGAAGCATAATGGAAATAGAAGTGTAGACTCTAACATAAGTAATAGTATCGGGTACTTACAGCACAATAAAAATGGCAGCCACTAGGACAGTTTTTCTGCTGCAGCTGCTCCTGCTCCAGCATTTAGTTTTAACATCTTCCTTTGTAGTTTCAGGTCACCACCGCCATCTCCACCATTCGTTGCTAAAAGACAAGGCTGCTCTTCTAGCATTTAGGAAGACCATAGTTTTCGATCCCAATTCTAGGCTTGCAAACTGGATTGGAGCAGTAGAAGTTTGCAACTTTACAGGGGTCACATGTGACAGGCGTCATCATCACCGTGTGGTAAAACTCAATCTGACAAGCAGTGAACTCACTGGTCCACTGTCACCAATCATTTCAAACCTCACAGGGCTTCGAGTCCTCAACCTCATTGAAAATAACTTCTTTGGAATCATCCCTCCTGAATTGTCTTCTCTTCGACACCTGCGTCATCTCCAGTTAGACATGAATAATCTACAAGGCTCATTGCCAAAGTCCTTTGCCCTTCTTTCCAAACTCACTTTGATAACTATCATGGATAACAAATTGACAGGTGAACTTCCACCTACCTTATTCTCCAACTGTACTTCATTAGGAAATGTTGACCTGTCCTATAATTTTCTCACAGGAAAAATTCCCCAAGAAATTGGAAATTGTCCACACCTGTGGACCATTAATTTGTACAACAATCAATTTACAGGAGAGCTTCCTGTATCTTTAACCAATATTTCAGTTGATCTCTACAATATAGACGTGGAGTATAACCATCTTTCTGGTGAATTGCCTGCAAACATTATAGGGAAACTACAAGCACTTGGCTTCCTCCATTTATCATACAACCATATGTATAGTCACAACAAAAACACTAATCTTGAGCCATTCTTCAATGCACTTGGAAATTGCACTGACCTAGAGGAGCTCGAATTGGCAGGCATGGGACTCGGAGGAAGCATGCCTAGTTCCATTGGCCAACTTAGTACCACAATGCATTCCCTGGTGCTGCAAGAAAACCAGATCTATGGATCAATCCCTTCGGGTATAGGAAATCTTTCTGGCCTTACACTGCTGAATTTGACATCCAATTATCTAAATGGAACAATTTCAGCAAAGATCAGTCAATTGCTCAACCTCGAACAACTTTTTTTATCGCACAATTTGTTCACTGGGGCAATTCCAGCAGCATTAGGCCAATTTCCTAAACTTGGTCTCATTGATCTATCAAATAATCAATTCTCTGGTGAAATACCTGCAAGTCTAGGAAACTTGGTAAAAGTGAATTCTATGTTTCTCAACAACAACAACCTTTCAGGAACCATACCTCCAACATTAGGGCAGTGCATTGATCTGTACAAGTTAGACTTGTCCTATAACAGATTGACAGGGAGCATCCCTCCACAAATATCAGGTTTACATGAGATCCGGATATTCCTAAATCTTTCACACAATCGTCTAGAAGGGCCTTTGCCAATCGAACTCAGCAAGCTGGAAAATGTTCAAGAGATCGACGTTTCTTCAAACAACTTGACTGGAAGTATCTTCGTTCAAATGTCAAGCTGCATTGCATTGAGGATGATAAATTTCTCACACAATTCTCTTGAAGGGGACCTACCTGTTTCACTTGGTGATCTGAAGAACCTTGAATCTTTTGATGTTTCCAAAAACCACCTCTCTGGAACAATCCCAGTCAGCCTCAACAAAATTCCAACCCTCACGTACCTTAATCTTTCTTTTAACAACTTTCGCGGAGCAATTCCCTCTGGTGGTGTGTTCGATTCAGTTACATATGCATCATTCTTAGAAAATTTGGACCTTTGCGGCGCAGTTCCTTGCATGCCTGCTTGCGCCCATAAGAGACGTTGGTTTCGTTCACAAAAGTTCTTGATTATATTTGTCCTAGTTATATTAGTATCAGCATTCTTATCATCGGTATGCTGTGCAATTGGAATCCGCCGTTTCAAAGTAATTATTTCGTCTCGAAATTCAGTGAGAAGTGAGAGAACAAGCAAACCAACGGTGCCTGAATTGATCCACAATTTTCCAAGAATTACATATAGAGAACTGTCAGAGGCCACTGAAGGATTTGATGGACAGAGACTAATTGGTATAGGTAGTTATGGACGTGTCTATAAGGGAATTCTTCCAGATGGGACTCCCATAGCTGTGAAGGTATTGCAGTTCCAATCTGGAAATTCAACAAAGAGTTTTAACAGAGAATGCCAAGTGTTGAAAAGGATTCGACACAGGAATTTGATAAGGATCATAACAGCATGTAGTCTTCCTGATTTCAAGGCTCTTGTCCTTCCATATATGGCAAATGGAAGTCTGGACAGCCGTCTGTACCCACATTCAGGTACAGGTTTGTGTTCAGGCTCTTCTGATTTGACTCTTATCCAGAGAGTGAATATTTGCAGTGACATAGCTGAGGGGATGGCTTATCTGCATCACCATTCCCATGTTAAAGTCATACATTGTGATCTAAAGCCAAGCAATGTTCTTCTCAATGATGACATGACAGCTCTGGTTTCTGACTTTGGCATTGCAAGGTTAGTTTTGACAGTTGGGGGTGGAAATGCTGGGGTAGTTGAGAATGTGGGCAACTCTACTGCAAATTTGCTATCTGGATCTATCGGATATATTGCACCAGGTATGAATTTACCCTTTGCTTCTGCATCTGCAAAAGCAAACAGCAAACCAAAAATTTAAAAGACATTAAACAACAAACCAAAAAACCAAAAAGATAGTGCTTTCTATTATCACACAATTAAGAAAAATGGTTAAAAGGACTATTTTATTGATATAACTTTTCAATTATGTCCATCTTAAATAACACATGAGCAATTATTATAATTGAATAATAAGTAAGAATTGATGAGAGTTACTGAAAATAAGATAAAATTTAATAAGCGTATAATAATAGGACAATGTCAGGATTAACTGTAATAAACCAAAAAAGGAAATATCCATCTTAAATAACACATGAGCAATTATTATAATTGAATAATAAGTAAGAATTGATGAGAGTTACTGAAAATAAGATAAAATTTAATAAGCGTATAATAGACAATGTAAGGATTAACTGTAATAAACCAAAAAGGAAATATGGACAATCTTTTTGGGACGGAGGGAGTAACATTTTCCACAATGCAGGTAGGTTATAAAATTTTTCATCTACTTAAAATATGCATAAAAGATGAAGAGACTATAAGTTAATGATTAGTAACAATCACTGTTCAACTGGTTCCCACCTAAATCCACCCACATGTCAAGGCAAGTAAAATGATTTCTTAACTGTATAAGTATCACACCATTGCTATGAAAAGGATCCGATTTGTCTCATCAATCTGTATCGTCATATATCCAACTTTGCAATTCAGTCCTGTCTTACAACTCATGGGCACAAAGCACTGCCTTATTCAATTCTCATTCAAAAATGCAGAGTATGGGTTCGGTTCAAACACATCTACTAAAGGAGATGTTTATAGCTTTGGTGTTGTAGTTCTTGAGATGGTCACTAGAAAAAGACCGACAGATGACATGTTTGCTGGTGGGCTAAACCTGCATAGATGGGTGAAGAGTTACTACCATGGTAGAATGGAACAGGTGATAGACTCTTCTTTGTTGAGAGCTGCAAGAGATCAATCCCCTGAAGTAACGAAGATGTGGGAAGTTGCAATAGGAGAATTAATTGAGTTGGGTATTCTTTGCACTCAAGAGTCCCCTTCCACAAGACCTACAATGCTTGATGTAGCTGATGACTTGGATCGACTAAAGAGGTATCTTAGTGGAGATACAACTGCAACATTTGCATCTTCATTGGGAATTTCATCATCCACCACAGGAGATGACTAATGACTTGCCAATTTGTTGTATTGTAAATTGCATTAATTCTCCAATTTAACCTTTTCTTTTCCTGACCTGTCAAGAACTTTAACTTGACTTCTCACCTCTCTCGACCAAGTCATTTATGCATGAATTTTTTTTATAAACCCAAAAAACATGCATATAGCATATAATTGCTAAATTCAAATTAAAATACAAAAGCAAAATAAGTATGCAATTGAAATATATTATTTATCAGTTTTCATCAATTACAACCTCCTCACTATTCATTTGCTTAGATAAACAACTCTTTATCATTTTTTATGTTTCATAATTTTCATTTGAGTTTTGTATCAGAGCAGACAGGGAGTTTGCATATAAGAAGGGAGATAGACAAAGTAATAATATCATGTAATGTCTTTTTATCTTGGCCAAAAGCTCTAAAATTATCAACAAATGTTGCACCTCCCAACAAGCTTTTAAAAAAAAAAAATCTTGTCGTCAGAACCCCAGAAAGCATATTTTTCTTGTGCTGTGAGCAGTTCAAGAAGGTTATGGTGATTCATCATAGTAATCATCACCGATATTCATCTAGCATAAGCAAATATCATATGGTTCCACTGCCAATAATATATGGTTTTGTCTACTGGAACCCTAGTTTTCCATGAGCATAAGTAGATTTTTAATTTTCATAACTACAGCATATTTAGGGAATATCAGGAATTAGCTTACACCTGGGGTATACTAGGAGTGGACTAAGAGGACCTTAGATATTATTTTTATTCAAGTTAAAATCATATAGTACATTAGATTAGAGAAAAATCCTTAAATCTGTGCTTGTGGGTTAATTCAGACAACCAGAAGCTTGAGAAAAAATAACATTAAGGACTCTAGAGTCAAGAAGCTTAGAATTATGATCCAAATTTAATATAGGATTTAGTAAGAATATTATATTATAACTCCTAGTCCTTCATAAGTTTTATTGTGTCTATTCCAAAAATATAAGTGTTGGGTTACCATTTTAACATTTTTAAGTCTTAAACTACTTTTGCGATTCCCAGCTTTGTTGGAGTGGATGTTTTAAAGAGTCTTAATTTTCTACTGTAGCATTGTCCCTTGCAGTTTTCTCCAGAACTCCAAATCTTGGAGAATTAGGACTAAATTTGATCATCCAATGGAAATCTAGTGTTGTGCCTAAGGGAGTACAGGTGGGACTATTAATAGAATTAGGCTAAGCCTCTGCAAATAGCTCAACAATCTACTTTCCTTTTCATTTTTGCTGCAAAGCTACTCTCGGTAAACAAACCTAATTTTCTATTCATTCTAGCTTTTGAATAAATCCGAAATCTAGCCCGATAATCATCCTACTACCTGTCAAATATCAGGGCTAGCAGTATCATTTGGAAACAAGTTACACATATAACTAAAACAGAAAGGTTTGACAACAAAATGGGAAAAAGAAACTCATATAAGACTCTTACAAAAAGAGTACACAGCTAAAAGTTCTTTTATAGGGACTGATGTGGCTACTGCTCTAATGCAATATGAAGTGCTCCCAAGGAGTAGATAATATGCATCAGAAGCCTTCCAGATAACATTTTCTCTCATTGTCGGTGAGTAACTCTTGCATTCCTCTATGGATAATTACATTTACCAGCATGTCAGACCACCTAACCTCAACAACAAATGCGAAAAAGAATAGCAACAAATGGTTGCTAACTGAAATATATTCGATTATATAGTATTTGTCAAATTGTCTCGACTCACCAATTCTTCAGCCTATGTAATCTGACAAGCAAGTTTTGGAACTAAAGGACAAGTACCAAACATATGCAAACATTCCATTGATCAAACTGAGTACCATTTGAAACAAGTAAAAAAAAAAAATAATAATAAATTCAATCATATAATACCCAGATTTCAAAGTGCTGTTATACAACATCTAGCTGAAAAATTCAGTTAAATTTGACAATAGATGTCAATCCATAAGAGTCTTAGAACAGCAGGTCAGCTGAAGGAGAAAAACCATTTGCAAAAAGAATTGTACAGTAATGCACAATTGCTGTTGAGACAAATATGTATATGAACAATTTAGCTAAACAAAGCCTTAGCAAGAAACAAACTACCACATCTACAACCATTTTAAGACAAGCAACCAAGTTTTTTAGCAACTTTGAAAAGAATAAAGACTCAATTACACACCATTCAACCCAAAAACTCAAAATTTAGACACGGATATTGTCCTTTACCGATAAATGAATTCAAGAAGAGAATGAGAATTAATTGAGAAGAAGAGAACGACCTTGTTTTGAGCCAGAAATCCCATAATCGACAGCCATCGGGTGAATCTTTTCTTGTTCTTCTGCAATTTAAGATGAAGTTTGGAATTTGGAAAATTCATTTTCTAACAAGAAAGAATCGAATAATTCCGCCACTTGATAGGGCTTACAGCTGCGACCCATTTGATATATCTATGGGCCGGGTCTTTTATTGCCCCATATGGTAAAGGGTAGGCATTGTAGGATCGGAACCATGGTGTGAAAAGATAAAACTTGCCTACGACAGCTGTATGGATACGCTTAATTAAATAAAAATAATAATTTTTTACTTAAACGAAGGAATTTAGAATCATATACTGAAAAAAATAGTTATAATTATTAATATAATCTTTTTCTTTATTAACTTAGTAGACGAAAGATCTTTTAGAACTAATGAATCGTGTCAATTTTGTCAAAGTAATCCAAAAATGCCTAACATATCCTCTTATAAAAAATACCAGAAATAAAAAATCAAATGGAATTGGAAATGGCTGTTACTTCAGCTCAACAAAGAAAAAGCAGTTCTAATTAAAATTACCCTTTGAAATTTTAGGATATATTAAATAATTTAATTCACTAATAAAAAAATTTGGTTGAATTCACTTCTATTGAATTAAAAAAAAAAAATAATTAAGTTCACATAATAAGCAAGAAACAAATTAAATTCACTTCAAACGTATTGTTCTTTTATTATAACAAGGGAAAATTCACATACATGCAACATATTGGTTTCCTCAACCATCGGCCTTAAAACCTACTATATAATTTTTCAGAAACACATAAAAACAGGGGACAAAAACAGAGCTCAAAAGCAGAACACACGAATTGGCCAAACTCATTCTTCAATCAACTTCTTCAATTTTAGGTCCGGCACCAGAACCCGCGGAGCCACCATTAGGCATTTCGCCACCACCCATTGGCATTTCACCACCAGCACCACCGCCTTGATACATCTTTGCAATAATAGGATTGCACAATCCCTCTAGTTCCTTCAACTTGTCTTCAAGTTCCTCCACCTCTGCTAATTGATTCCTTTCCAACCAATCAATAGCTTCATCAATTGCTTTCTCAATCTTCTGCTTATCAGCCGGATCCAATTTTCCAGCGAACTTCTCATCTTTCACAGTATTTCTCATATTATAAGCATAATTCTCTAAAGCATTCTTGGCTTCAACCTTCTTCTTCACTTCTTCGTCCTCTGCTTTATACTTCTCTGCTTCTTGCACCATTCTTTCAATCTCTTCCTTGCTCAGTCTTCCCTTGTCATTAGTAATTGTAATCTTGTTCTTCACTCCTGCAGTCTTATCCTCCGCCGAGACATTCAAGATTCCATTTGCATCAATATCGAAGCAAACATTTATCTGAGGAACTCCTCTTGGGGCTGGAGGAATGCCAGTAAGCTCAAATTTGCCAAGAAGATTATTATCTTTGGTTCTTGCTCTTTCTCCTTCATAAACTTGAATAAGTACTCCCGGTTGATTATCAGAATAAGTAGAGAATATCTGCTCTTTCTTGGTGGGAATTGTTGTGTTTCTTGGAATCAAGACTGTCATTACACCACCAGCAGTTTCAATTCCAAGACTAAGAGGAGTGACATCTAAAAGAAGCAAATCTTGAACCTTCTCGTCCCCTTCGCCACTTAAAATCGCGGCTTGAACAGCAGCTCCATACGCCACAGCCTCATCAGGGTTTATACTCTTGCAAAGTTCTTTGCCATTAAAGAAATCTTGCAAAAGTTGTTGAACTTTAGGAATTCTTGTTGAGCCACCAACAAGAACAACATCATGAACTTGACTCTTGTCAATCTTTGAATCGCGAAGGCATTTTTCTACTGGCTCCATGCATTTTCTGAACAAGTCCATGTTCAATTCCTCAAATCTTGCTCTAGTAATAGTAGAATAGAAGTCAATACCTTCATAAAGAGAATCAATTTCAATAGTAGTCTGAGTAGTAGAAGAAAGAGTCCTTTTCGCCCTCTCGCAAGCAGTTCTCAACCTTCTTAAGGCTCTGGCATTAGTACTTATATCTTTCTTATGCTTTCTCTTAAACTCTGCAACAAAATGGTTAACAAGTCTATTATCAAAGTCCTCTCCACCAAGATGAGTATCCCCAGCAGTAGCTTTAACTTCAAAGATACCCTCTTCAATTGTCAACAAAGAAACATCAAAAGTTCCTCCACCAAGATCAAAGATCAGCACATTCTTTTCGCCAGATCTCGACCCTTTCTTGTCCAAACCATAAGCAATGGCAGCAGCAGTTGGCTCATTAATAATTCTCATGACATTAAGACCAGCAATAGCGCCTGCATCCTTCGTAGCTTGCCTCTGCGAGTCATTGAAATAAGCAGGAACAGTAACAACAGCATTTTTGATCGTTTGACCCAAATAAGCCTCTGCTATCTCCTTCATCTTCGTTAACACCATAGAAGAAATTTCCTCTGGTGCAAATTGCTTCTCTTCTCCTTTATATTGCACAACTATCATGGGCTTATCCCCAGGACCAGGAACAACCTTGAACGGCCAGTGCTTCATGTCGCTTTGAACAGATGGGTCAGAGAAACGACGACCAATAAGTCGTTTTGCATCAAAGACTGTGTTTTGAGGATTCATAGCAACTTGGTTCTTTGCTGCGTCGCCAATCAGACGTTCTGTGTCCGTAAAAGCAACATAAGAAGGAGTAGTTCTGTTGCCTTGGTCATTTGCAATGATCTCCACACGGTCATTTTGCCAGACACCGACACAGCTGTAAGTAGTACCAAGATCAATGCCAATGGCCTTACCTTCAGTTTTTGGTGCCATTGAAGAAAATCTTTAACAAGAAATCAACAGACAAACGATCACAAAGAAAGAAAGAAAGAAAGAAGGATGATAAAGATCAAAGAATCAAGAAAGCTTGTTTGGTTTAGCTTGAGAGTAGTTTCTTTTTCTGTTTTGCTTTCAGTTTGATTTGGAAAGTGCAAGGCTGAGACATATATAAAGAATGCAAACCGGCTATGGAGAATTTTCGAGAGGGGACTAGTAGAAAAGGCAATGGACAAATCGAAATTTGAGTCAGTCGGTTAAGTCAGTTAAGAAAGTGAAAACTAGAGAGTTCTGGAAATCTGGTGAGGTGTTGCGATGTCGTGAGAATTACACGTGATTGTTAATAGACGGGAGAACTCGTGACTTTAACCCGGAAAAGTAAGAAGATTTGGGCCTGGACTTTTTACTAAGCCTGGCCCAATATTTTATAATTTTGATATTGAAAGCACAGAAGCAAGATTGTTAATTTCTGGTCTTTATTGTTTCATAAGATTAGTAATTTAATCATGATAATTAGTAAAACTATAAAGTCCTGATATATTTTGAGGAATTAAAATATTTTAAAATTTAATGATTATAAAATAAATCTAATTAATTTTTAAAGTGTAAGGATTAGAATGTAAAATCTAATTTAAAATATCACATACTAAAATGTGATGAAGATTTCATTACCATATAATCAAGAATTAAATCTTAAACTTTGATCTCAACAAAAAAAAAAAAAAAAAAAAAAAAAAAGTATCAACCATTATAATTATGAGAGTTAAAAATACTAATTTTTTTAAAAAAAAAAAAAAAAAAAAAAAGTCTTAAAAAGTATCAAGCCATTAATATAATATTGAGAGTTAAAATTACTAATTTTTTAAAAAATAGAACCAACTTGCAAACAAAGTTTCAAGAATATTTTATAATTAACTTAATAGTATTTGTTAGTTATCTAATAGTATATTACATTTATAGAGACTCAAAAAAATTTGGAAAGCAATTTGTTTTTAATGAGATTCAATAAAATGAAATAAGAATAATTAAAAATAGTTAATTACGAAGCAATTTGTATTAATTAAAAACAAAATATTTAAAACACATCGCTAAAATTACGAAAATAAATTTATTCATGATATTGTAAATAAATCTAATCATCAAAGAATTTACTAAGAAAGTGCTTAAAAATAAAAATAAAAAAATAAAAATAAAATTCCTATACATCCAATTTATAAATCTATCCAAACGAAGCAATTAAAGATGATTTTTTCAAAAAACTTTGTTTTAATTAAAAAAAACAGTTTTTAAATGTAGGTAAGTCTTTTTTAAAAAAAGATATTTGAAAATTAATAAAAATCAATAATAATTTGCCATGTTAAGTTAATTAGAAATTTCTCAAATTAATTAGAAGTTTAAAACACCCTCCAGAACTCTCTCGTCTTCTCTGTTTTTTTCCGGGATGTTTCTTTAGAACTCTCTGCATGTCTCTTTCCCCTTCTACAATTCATACCGACAAAATCACTTCTATGTATAAAAACCCCACACAAACCGTAAATCCATCCAACACGAAAATCACAGCAAAGCGTCCAAATTCAAGGATAAAAAATCTCATCAAACTCATTTCTCAAATTAACTGAATACCAATTGTTCTTGATTTTTTCTCTTGAATTTCTTCTTCTGCTTCAATGGCAGGCAAGGCAATCGGTATTGATCTTGGCACCACTTACAGCTGCGTCGGCGTTTGGCAAAACGACCGAGTCGAGATCATTGCAAATGATCAAGGCAACAGAACCACTCCTTCTTATGTTGCTTTTACTGACACAGAACGTCTGATTGGCGACGCAGCGAAGAACCAAGTTGCTATGAATCCTCATAACACAGTCTTTGATGCCAAACGACTTATTGGGCGTCGTTTCTCTGACCCATCTGTTCAAAGCGACATGAAGCATTGGCCATTCAAGGTTGTTCCTGGTCCTGGGGATAAGCCTATGATAGTTGTGCGATACAAAGGAGAAGAGAAGCAATTTTCACCTGAAGAGATTTCTTCTATGGTGTTAACAAAGATGAAGGAAATAGCAGAGGCTTATTTGGGTCAAACGATCAAAAATGCTGTTGTTACTGTTCCTGCTTATTTCAATGACTCGCAAAGGCAGGCTACGAAGGATGCTGGTGCTATTGCAGGTCTTAATGTCCTGAGAATTATTAATGAGCCAACTGCTGCTGCTATTGCCTATGGTCTGGACAAGAAAGCGTCAAGATCAGGTGAAAAGAATGTGTTGATCTTTGATCTTGGTGGAGGAACTTTCGATGTTTCTTTATTGACAATCGAAGAGGGCATCTTCGAAGTTAAAGCTACTGCCGGTGATACTCATCTTGGTGGAGAGGACTTTGATAACAGACTTGTTAACCATTTTGTTGCAGAGTTTAAGAGAAAGCATAAAAAAGATATCAGTACTAATGCCAGGGCCTTGAGAAGGCTGAGAACTGCTTGTGAGAGGGCGAAAAGGACTCTTTCTTCTACTTCTCAGACTACCATTGAAATTGATTCTCTTTATGAAGGTATTGATTTCTATGCTACAATTACCAGAGCAAGATTTGAAGAATTGAATATGGACTTGTTTAGAAAGTGCATGGAGCCTGTCGAAAAATGTCTTCGCGATGCCAAGATTGATAAGAGTCAAGTTCATGATGTTGTTCTTGTTGGTGGGTCAAAGAGAATTCCCAAAGTCCAACAACTTTTGCAAGATTTCTTCAACGGTAAAGAACTCTGCAAGAGTATAAACCCTGATGAGGCTGTCGCGTATGGAGCTGCTGTTCAAGCTGCAATATTAAGCGGTGAAGCTGATCAGAAAGTTCAAGATTTGCTTCTTTTGGATGTGACTCCTCTTAGTCTTGGAATTGAGACTGCTGGTGGTGTCATGACAGTCTTGATTCCAAGAAACACAACAATTCCTGCCAAGAAAGAGCAGGTTTTCTCTACTTATGCTGATAACCAAACAAGTGTACTCATTCAAGTTTACGAAGGCGAAAGGGCTAGAACCAAAGACAACAATCTTCTTGGCACATTTGAGCTTAAAGGCATTCCTCCAGCGCCAAGAGGTGTTCCTCAGATAAATGTTTGCTTCGATATTGATGCAAATGGAATCTTGAATGTCTCCGCGGAGGATAAGACTGCAGGAGTAAAGAACAAGATTACAATTACTAATGACAAGGGAAGGTTGAGCAAGGATGAGATTGAAAGAATGGTACAAGAAGCAGAGAAGTATAAAGCAGAGGATGAACAAGTGAAGAAGAAAGTGGAGGCAAAGAATGCACTAGAGAATTATGCTTATAATATGAGAAATACAATCAGAGATGAGAAAATTGCAGGTAAATTGGATGCAGCAGATAAACAGAAGATTGAAAAGGCAATTGATGGAGCAATTGAATGGCTGGACGGGAACCAACTAGCAGAAGTAGATGAATTTGAGGACAAGCTGAAAGAGTTAGAGGGTTTGTGTAATCCAATCATTTCAAAAATGTATCAAGGTGGCGGTGGGGATGTACCGATGGGTGGCGGTCAGCCAGGAAGTGGGTATGGCAAGGGTAGCACTGGTGGTTCTGGTTCTTCTGGTTCAGGGCCAAAGATTGAGGAGGTTGATTGAGGAATTGAAAGTTTATTCATCTTGTATGGTCTGCCTTTGAGATGCGCTCTGTTTGCTCTGTTTTAGCTTGCGTTTGAGTTAAATATTCCAAATAAATAATTCTCTTGTAGTGTAGGGATGTAAAAGAAATAATATAGAGTTTGCTCTGTATGTTTTCCTCATTTTGTTGTCAATCTAATTTTGTGATAAGTTTGGTGACAACGATGATTATTATTATTATTATTATTATTTTTTGGGCTGGAAAGACCAATGATGAAAATTTTGTCCAAAAGACTGATTAAAGGAATTCTCCAGTTAGCCCAGGAACATCCTGTAGAAATTTTGGGCTCAATGGATTAGGCCTAAACCGAACACTGTTAAGGCAAAAATAAAGCCGACCCACGGGCTTTAAGCCTGCATGCCTCTATTTTTGGGAAACCTATTTATTAAAAAGATTTCGGTAAAATTATAGGCTAAACCATAAAATATATTAAGCCTGCATGCCTCTATTTTTGGGAAACCCTATTTATTTTTAAAAAGATTCGGTATAAAATTATAGGCCCCCCCATTAAACCATTAAAATATATAATTATATATATATATATAGTATTATATAGATGGTGGTGTTTTGATGTGTGGTTGGTTGATGGTCGGTAGATATATATATAGATGGTGGTGTTTGTGGTGGTGGTGATGGTGGTAGTTGTAGTGGTGGTGACATTATGGTGGTAGTGGTGGTGTGATTGTTTGTGATGGTCTTCTAGTTATATCACACATTTACAAACAAACATAACAAGGAAATGGTAATTACATTCCATAATGCTTTGTTTGGAAGGAAGGAAAATTTGGGTAGAAAGAAAATATTGAAGGAAAATAACCAAGGAAAGGCTATTTTACTTTGTTTGGGAACAAGAACAAAAATTATGGTGGAAAGAAAATACTCACCAAATTCTCTCCGGGCTCACCTCAACACGATCACTCCAAATTGGAGAGAGTGCCTCACACATGAGTGAAAATGTCACTGTTTTGAACTGAATTACAAAACTTCCCAAACTAAACTTCATTTTCATCACGGCTTATCATTATGTTAATGCTCTCTTGATGCTAACTGTTTAAAGATTTTGATAAAGTTTCTAAATGTAAATAAGTTATATGCATTGGCATCATTGTATATATTTGTCACACTTGTTCAATTCTCATGATATAATTTTTCATTCTTTTATTTGCATTATTAATTTAATATTATTTCTTTTTATTAAGAGTCAAAATGGTAAATTGAAATTGAAAATAATATTTTTTTTTTCAATAATTTGATTTTTTAAAATATAATACATTTTATCTCCTCAATCTTATTTTCCTTCCATCCAAACATAAGAGTGGAAAATGTGTAAGGAAAGATTTTTTTTCATTATTTTCCTTTCTTTGTTTTTTGTTAGTATTTTCAATTACATTACTAAACATAGTAATGGAATAACAATTACATTCTATTACACTACATTTTTCATTGCATTATGAAACATAACCTAACTTTGATTTTTAGTTCAATTTGATACCAAACTGTCTGTTCGTATATATGGAGCACTAATTAGGCGAGTTAGCAAACATGAACAACTCATGAATGCAACTTTTGTCTAAACAAATATAGAAAGCAAGCATCGGATTCTAAATGCATCTTTGTTCATGAAGCACAAAAAAAAAGAAGGTATTTTAATTTTTTGCCAAGCATTTTTGGTGTTGGCACTAAGTCTATAACACTACAGTTTCCAACCTTTATTCTGTCACCCACTAGAGGGATCTGATCTCTTCTGTTACCTTGTATTTCTTTTTTTGTTTTTAAAAAAATTTTCTCTCTTTCTCTAGCAATTTCCATCTTCTTAAGGCAGCTAATGAAAATGAATATTACTTTCATGAATATGGAAAAGGATCTTATCCCAACTAGTGAATTACAAAGAATCATTATGTATTTTTCTTATAGCTTAAGAATAAATTATTTAAATTCTTATTCTTTTCTCAACATTCTGCAAATCTGAGAATGTAAATTCATAGGAGGGTTGATATAATGTATTGTTAAGTCATTAAAACAATAAGAAAAAAATCCTCTTTAACGCTACCAGTTAATTGGCATCTTCCTTTCACAAATCTTGATGTATATATTACACTGCCATGGTTCGGCCACCCTTTTTATTCTCTCTCAAGTTTCTTGACTTCCTCTTTTTTTTTTTTTTTTTTTTTTCCCTTTTTTTTTTTTTTTTTTTTTTCTTTATTGCCTTTTTTATTTCTTTTATGCAAAGAGTTTAAGAAGTTGTTTGCTTGTTGAGGATAGATGTTCCTTAGATAGCAGCTAATTGTTGAATAAAGAGTGTCAAATGCGAGAGTCTTTTATCATCTTTTAGTTATTAACGTTGAACCATAAATTAATAACTGCTAAAAGAACACTACATTTTTTTTTTTTTTTTTTTTTTCTTTATGCCTTTTTTATTTCTTTTATGCAAAGAGTTTAAGAAGTTGTTTGCTGTGAGGATAGATGTTCCTAGATAGCAGCTAATTGTTGAATAAGAGTGTCAAATGCGAGAGTTTTTATCATTTTAGTTATAACGTTGAACCATTATTAATAACTGCTAAAAGAACACTACTTCATTTGAAATTTTGAAATTGTCGAAAAGTATTACTTGAATATCACCTAACTCGAGAGGGAATTACTTGAATGTCACCTAACTCGAGAGTGAATCAGTCTTATCTATGTAAGGGACCGTGACAGACACCATTATGAAAAAAATCTTTAAACAAACTTAAACGTTATGGGGAAAAAATAAAATTGCATTATGCATAAAAAAAAAAAAAAAAAGGATTTAACACCAATTTCCTTTTTTATTTTTATTTTTATTCCTAATTCCTGAAGTCTCCACATGACATCTATATCATCCCCTTGCCTGTGCCTATCAGAACAGGTTACACCTATACTGCGTCTCCTTAACCTCCAGTCTCCAGCCAAACACCCTCCTCCTTCCTTAATTTCCTATAATAACTAAAAAACCATTTAGGAAATGAAGCTTATGTCTCTTATATGGTTCTTATTATTATGTGGTCACACCATATCAAACATCGAAATTCAAGGCCTACCCACATCACAGAAAGAAGAGTTGACGCAATCAGGACCTGGAAAACAAGGTCAAGTTCAAGGTATAGTAACTCTTTTTTTTCTTGTTTCCTCTTTTCTTTTTTCTTTTTTTTCTCCCAATGTCTTCGTAGGCTATAGGGCTTAAATTTTTCCATCCTGCAGGTCTAAATGGGACAATTAGATTAGAAAGAGAAAATAAATTTCACTACACAATGAATTCGGGGCAGAGAGGGAAAGGAGCTTTTGGTGGTGCGAATAATGTTCACCACTCTCGACCTGGTGAAAGAAATTCTGCAATATTAACTGCAAAACCTTCTTTGTCTTTGTTAGCCACCATATTTTGTGTGAGCTTGCCTTTGCCGCTAGTTTTCTAAATAGTTTTTACTGTTTTGACTAGTTAAAACGTTAAATGCTATTTTTTATAGTGTTTAATAATATAGCGTCTGAATTAGGATAGTTTAACTTTTAGCATTTTATAAAAAACGTTAAACGTTAAGTAAAATGCGAACATCTTGATATTTTTTGGCAGCAGACCAAATGCCTCATTTCTTCTTTGGTTTGGCCAGAGTTCGGTAGATTTGGCAAGCATAATCCTTCAAATACTTGAGTTTGTGGTTATTGCTTTGCGTGGTTTTATAAAGTAGTTGATCTATTGATGACTAATTATTTTGAGATTTTATTGTTTCTGGCTGTAAATTAACAAAAGGTGAGCGTTATCTAAATTATGTACTAAAAAAATTCACAAAAGATGAATTAGCAAACTGATTGGTTCTTTCTTATGTCTAACATTAAACCACTAAACACCATTAGTAACATCAAGTAATGCCAGCAAATTAGTCTAACCTCAGCATTCAACAGAATTACACTTATTATATCAAATTAGACATACAATTTTCCCTTGCCAAAAGTCTATATATGCACAGGTGTACAACAAGAGCCTCCTAAAAGGGGACTTTTCTCTGAAATATCTTCCTCAAATTAACCATGTCAATGTGTATGGGAATATGACTGGAAGAAACACAATCACCAAGGAAATAAAGGAAAAGAGAAATCTGGTACTGCATGAATTTTTTGGCTCGATTTATTGCCAGAAGTTCATTTTCTTAAATTTCATAGATCAACTTCTCAAACAGTTTCATGTGTTCAGTTTGCAATGCAATGGCTACTGATAAGCTCCCATCATTAGTTGCACTAGGCAAGATGAATGATAAACCCTCATATGGTATCCCACCAGGCCCCATAAATATGGGTCTACCCCATCCAAAATCTGCGTCATGGATAGGCAGCCTAACCCAGCTAGTAATTCCTAGATTTGGGCACCTAAAAGTATGTGCGCCCCGAACAAGAGCTGATGGATCAGGTTGAAGCTCAAGGTAATCAAGGGCTGACCTTAAGTAATCATTGTCCATGCGAACCAATGCATCATGAATCTTCCTTGCAGCAAACCAAGTTGGCTTTGATTGCATCTCACCTGCTTGTGCAATTGGTGTTGCTGTAAAGATAACATTGCCGAAGTAACCAGGTGGGAGGGGAGGCTGCAGTCGCGACCGCCCATCAGTTGCGATATATAATTTGGTTTCTTGATCACCAACAAGTCCACGAGCTTTGCTAGCAGATCGCCATACATGGCCAGCCAACATCTCATATGAGCTATAACTTACAGTGTTTCCATCTTCCTTTGCCTTGGTTTTGAGGATGTTAAGTTGATCCCTTGTCAACTTGAAAATGGAGACCGTAGTGCTGTCGGGTTTTGAGTTGTCTACAGGAGTCTTCATGGCTGGAGGAGGTTGGTACTCAATGTGATGAAACGCAGGCTGTGGTGGGTCTCTGGCACGGAGGAGGGTTCGGTCAATGAATGGGGGAATTGTAAGGTCAAGACCACGAGTCATGTCTGACCACGTATTCACAAAGTGAAGACCAGAAAACCCATCAGCCACATGGTGCTGCATCCCAACGCCAAGTGAAACTCCGCCGCATTTGAAGTATGTCAACTGCAGAGAATCAAATCAGTAAGCTACAAATGCATAATGATTCAAATTTTACTCGAAAGTGATTGACTTAACTAGGTATTTAATGAAGGTCAATGCAAAGCTCTGTTGGTTTGCACGTGAAAAAAGGCACGAGAATATTGGAAAAACTTGGAAATCCAACAGCTAACTAGGTAAACTAACTAGAATTTGAATCTTTGTCCAAATGGCCCTAGTAAATGAAAGTTAATAGATGGTTGGTCACCTATATGCCCCTCTTTAATGCTCACCGAAAACTAAAAACAACCAAGTCTGCTAACTTACTAGGCTCAATTTCATAAATACCAAACCATATTCCATCATCAATCCTTCAAATATTATTAATGTGGAAAGATAAGGTACTCTGCAGTGAATCTGTGATGATTTTCTCTCATCCATTGACCAATTGCAGAAAGCCAGAGAGTCTATTCCTTCTTTTTACATTAAGCATGTTCATAGATCAGTAAAGATCAATAACGCTGCTCGTGCATAACCTAACTAAGCCGAAGCCAAGTTTATATAATCCAACTCTACAATTACAGCACCCTTAAAACTAGTCCTGAAATGCTAACTGGCAGTACTGAAGAAATTTTTCTAGCCACCTAAGCACAGATAAGCTTTACACTACTTGGAACAAATTGAAGATAAGTAACTAGGAATCCAGACTTTGAGCTCGCGTGGTAGCATTTTTCGGTCGTTCCTCAATGAAGGACTCTTAGCAATGAGCTTCGGCTAATGAATAGCAAGAAGAACACAAATCTGAAAGATGAGACAATCTTCAATCCACTAAAATTTACATATTAACCACTAACCAGATTCATGAATCTTATTAATTTTTCATATTAACGGGCTTCATTAATGTTAAAAACCTAGTAATTTATAGGAAGACGTTAAGTTGCATAGTTACTCCAACAGCTCAAGTTTTGAGCGAGTGAACTGACCATTTTCAGAAACCATGCCATACAACCACCAAACTTTGAAACCGCAGCAGGTACTTCATGGTTTAAAGCAGTCCCATTTGCTCAACCAAATTTTTAAATAATGAGAAAGACATCAGACATCAAACTTATAGTTTAACATAAAAAAGGATTAATCAGATTCAATTTTCTCTAATCACAATTATCTTTCAGAACTTGTTCATATTTTTTGCGTTTTAGGCTTTTAGCAGTGAAATATTTGAAGAGCAATGTAATTTTAAAACTGTAGAGAACAAGCTTTCTGTATGATGGATCCTAAAGTATCTTGGTTGCTTAAATGGATCACATTTAAGATCAAAATCACGATGATGGATGCAAAATAGTAAGTGATAAATCACTATCAAACTTGAATTTGATTGTCAAGTTCAAGCTAATTTAGGTAATTGATAAAGTCTAAAGGTGCCACCAATTTCATTTGTGAGGAGATATGATGACTCTTGTCAAAATCTAAGCCATTGTGGTCCTCTGTTCCAACCATAACAATCGACAAGACAAGGTGATTGCATAATGCCCTACCATATGAACGAAAGTTATATTTAATCCAACTAACACACCTCCAAATGGTGTGGTCACATGATAAATGCTCAACTACATAGAGTCATTTTGAGAAAGTCATCACTGATTATACAAGCAACGGTTATGTGGTTGGGAGGGCCATTGCTCAACTACTGGTAAGACGTGCTAATGAATTGCATTTGGGCTTATTTCGTCTGCATACTTGTTGTATACGTTATTTTTTAAACATAAAGCAAAAGTGTATGAAGATTTACACTTTTGTTGGGGGAAAAGATAATTAAAAAAAAAAAAAAGCCAATTTACAACAGTAGTAGAAATCTCAAAAAACCTGAGACTAAAAGGTCCTTAAACTAATGCCGGTAAAGAACAAACCAATTCTACTGGGTCCTCACCATAAGAAGAATTCAATCAACAGGTAGAGTGAGGAAAGGACGAGAGAGGGAAAAGGAGGAGGAAAATTTGCCTGTGAAGGAGGCGAACTTCTCTGTTTCTTTTCTCGTTTGGAAATATGTTAGGAAGGAGATTGAAAGCAAGAGAAAGTGTAAGAAAATAAAATCATAAAATACACAAACAATCACCAACCAAATGTTTTCCCCCAATGCATAGCTTACTTCAAAATAAAACGCTTCAACAACTTTCACCAAACAAAATTCGCCTTCGAATGGAAAATATATGAATCGAAAGTACTAAATATATATAATCTACCGTACCAAATCAACTAGTCAACAACAGCAACTTCTAATTGGACATGCACTTATTCACGGGAATGCCATAGGAGCCTACCACCCACCTATAACAATGGAACAACCAATCTCACAACTAAATTGACCTATTTAGGATGTATTCTTTTTCACGTCAAAATTGATATAATTAATGCCATAGACTTGACAAACGACGAAATAACAAAAGCTATCACAAAGAAATGACCATAATTTTATATGTGCTATTAATAGATGTCAACCTTTCACATCTACAAAATCCAAAACCATATTAGTTTCGTACCAGAAGGTTGTGGATACTCTAGGAAAAAACAAAAAAAAAAAAAAAAAAAAAAAAAAAACCAAGAAATGGACCTCATAAATCTTTATATGGCTATTAAATAGACTGTACACCTATTTCACCATTCTACAAATCCAAAAACCATATCAACGTTCGTACCCAAAAAAAAAAAAAAAAAGGGAGGAAGGAAAGGTTTTTTGGTGGGATACGTCTTTAGGAAAAAACCAAAAAAAAAAAAAAAAAAAAAAAAAAAAAAAAAAAAAAAAAAAAAAAACTCGGACATTTTGAATTTAACTGGTCTTACAAGAACCCATTGCCATTGAAATGCTATCTCTATTTCTATCAATATGAAAAAAAACTGAACAAATAGATAAATTAAGCTCCAATAAATAAATAAATAAAATACGGAACAAAAACACCACATACCTGCAAAACCAAGAGCGGATAAGTAGATATCCCGCCGGAGTAATCTACGGTAGGAATAAGCTTCTTGAGCTCCAAAGTGGGAGCGAAATCGCCAAAGTCATCGATGACGGAGCTCGTCTCCGCGACAACAAATAAGACACCCTCAGCATTGCAATCAATCTCAATACGACCGTCCTCGTCTCTTCTTAACCGCCCAGCCATCGGATAGAACGGCACGAGTGCCTTACTCAACCCTTCCTTCACCACATTTGGATCGAAGAAAGTCGGTGCGCCAGTCGGCCTGTAGAAGTAAACGCTCGGTGTATGGAATCTCGGAACCACAAGGTCAACGTTGGCGTTCCAAAGGCCCCGTCGCGGTGTTTCCTCCGCCGGCTTCACCAGCGTGGACTCCTTCACGGTAATTATCATGCTTTTGTGGAAAGTCAAGCGGTTGGTGTGCTAACTTGCGCGCTCTGCGGGTCCTACTCAGGGCTTGACCACTGTTTATGACTGAAAGCAAAACAAATTAGTTGAAGGAAAGCTTTCCCACCCGTACAGAAAAAAAAAAAAACAAAAACAAAAGTTATCAAGCAGTAAACTATATATATATATATATATATATTCATTGTAATACATAAAAGAATTTCTTAGATTCATGATTTTAAGAAAAACAGATAAAACGAATACTCTTTTAACACGGCCTTATTAATGAAAGAAAAGAAGGCTCAATCAACGGAAAACTTGAAACATTACCTGTGAATGGAAGTGGAGAAGGAGATGATGCAGAACTTGAAAATGAAGCTGGTTTGCGAGACAACTTATAGCGAGAAAGAGGGAGAGGGATGCAATGTACATATCTGTTGTGTCACTCACCTAACCCGCCTACTCAAATTGACCATTCATCTAATGCCACGTGGATACACACACCCACAACAACCATTTGTATTTAGTATTTTTTTTTTGACGAGGTAACACGCGAAGTCAGGAATCAGTGACCTGTCCTCTTGTATTTTAGAAAGGAAAATCATAGGTGGTTCCATATCTGTCATGTTTCTACCATTTTTTTTTTTTTTTTTTTTTTTTAAATTGCACCAATTATTAATGCCCGAACCGCAGTTTGGCACATCTATCAACACACACCAAACCAACCCATTTCTCGATTAGCGGTAATTTTTGTTTTTTGAACAACCAACACAAACAACGGTAACACGCGAAGTCAGAATCAGTGACCTGTCACTCTTGTATTAGAAAGGAAAATCATACGGTAGTTCCATATCTGGTCATGTTTTACCATTTTTTTTTCTTTTTTTTTTTTTTGACTGTTGCGAACGAGATAACATCGACCTCTAAAACCACTGAGTCTAATTAAAAAAAATTTTTTTTTTTTTTTTTTTTTTTGACGTTGAACGAGATAAATCATTAAACCACTGATTTTAAACAAGTCAATGAGGCTCTTCAACCAAAATAGATCTTTATAATCAGAATTAATCAGAGTTTCAAACCGAATCGGATCAGCGTTTAGCCTTCGAGAGCAGGAGAGAGAAATTCATTATATGGTCTCCTTTCCCTTTGTCTCAACGTGGTAACCTCTCTTTCCATTTTTGTTCCGTGTCCAGACAAAAGACCATCGGTCTCAGCGATCTTATGCTCTAGACTTAAGTTCTAGACACCAAGATGAATATTTTGACTACAAATTATTCGATTTTGGGTTGTATGTGATACAATCAAAGCTTGAAGCTTCGGTCCTTAAAACAGTTAAGAATTCAGTGGTTATTAAGGCTGTTTTCGGGCAGTGGCTTATGAAGTCCTTAAATTAAGGACGAAAATAGATTCCCGTACAATTCCGAGCAAGTAGGGATGAAAGTTGCTCAATTCCATCTAACCTCGATTTTTCGGCCACCGTGCTCGGCGGCTAGTAGCAGCAGTGGTTCCTGAACCTGCTGAACCTTTTTCCGATCAATATTTGTTAGCTTGACTTAGTTAGTGGCTTGTAGGTTATTGGCTTATAACTTACTCTACAAGATGTTAAAAAATATATTTTTTAATGCTAGGAACTTGAAGGGAGGAAACCATGTATAAATTGTACATTTTATAAATCTATATATATATATATAAACTGAGACAAAGAGAATATTTAAGGTTTAAGGCGTCATGCTTAAGACATTCTGGAGTATGTATGGCATTGTGTAATTTTGGCAAAGAACCTGCTGTAAGCCCATAACATAATTTTGTGTATTGCTTAGACTTATTTCTTTTTCTTTTTTTTTCTATTTCTTTCCTTTTTATTGTTTTTTATTTTATTTCTTCTTAATCAAAGCTCTCCCAGAAAAGTTCACATAATAGATTCTTTTTCTCTTTTTTTTTTTATTTCTTTGATTTTTATAATTCTTATACCAGAAAGTGTTCTAAATTAAATTAAAATAATATTATACTTTCTATATAACATTTCAATAAACATTCCAAGATATTCGTTATCTCTTCAAATATTTTCACAAAATTCAAAAATCATATCCCTTTTACTTTCCACACTACAACCAATGAAATGAGATAAAATTTGAATTACTAATTTATCGAAACTATTAAAAACGTTTTTCAAAAAGGCCATATGATCTATTTTATTATATATTCCCGCAAATTTTTTTTCCTAGCTTCATCATTTTTTATATAAAAGGCTAAAAATAGTGAAATTGGAAACTAAATATGATTTTATTCATTTTACAAGCATTGAGGGGTCATATGACAAAATCAAAGTATAAATATATATATTATCCATATTTAATTATTTAAATTGTTAAATTTTATCTATGTATAATTATCTTTGAGTTGTATTTAAATACAACTTAAATATTTTAACAAATATATTCCTGTATGTATGATTATCACAAGGTATTTGAATTGTATTTAAATACAACTAGAGTTGCAATAAAACTTATTTAATATTTAAGTTGTATTTAAATATGATTAGATCGCAGCAAAATTTATAGCAATGAGCAATTTTTGAAGTCTGATGGAAGCATTCTATAATTATAAAGAGTTTGGTCTAACTCGAGCTTTTAACCATGCGATAAAGAATCTCTCTCCATCTTCATTTATAGCAATGAGCAATTTTTGAAGTCTGATGGAAGCATTCTATAATTATAAAGAGTTTGGTCTAACTCGAGCTTTTAACCATGCGATAAAGAATCTCTCTCCATCTTCCTTGTTCATACTATGAGCTGTAGTTTGTATTTTTGCAGTCATATATATATGTTCTGTTATTTCATAAATTTATTAATGATTTTGATTAGTTGTAGTGGTTGGCTAACCCAATTGTCTTTAGAGTTGTATTAATATTCAATTTCACCTTTTAACTTCCTACTGTATTGGAATTTGATTTTGAAACATAACTTTAGAGTTTGATATTTGTTTTGTAGGCTGACATACGGATTGCATTTTTTTTTTTTTTTAATATACAAAAGTACTTTTGTAAAAAGCATATCGGGTTTGTGAAAAGGATTGGAAGAATGTATGCATTGTATGTTATTTTGACTCAGTTTATATTACTGTTTTTATCCATGAATTTTTCACATTAAAATTTAAACAAAAAGAATTTATCTCACCCCTGATATGTATCATTTTTAAATAGGTTTTTGATTATTATTCCTAATAATTTGATTATTCATAATAATTTTTCAAAAATAATAATGTAATCAACTATAATAATTAATAAATTAATATTTTAACGCGATTTTCGACTATTTAAATGACTAAACATATAAAGAACTTGGATTTCATATATTATGCTTGTCCTATTTTTTGTATTGTGTAGGTCTGCACACCATTTGTTCTAACCCGAACTAATCTGAGTGATTTGATTTTTTATTCAATCCGATTTAATTCGATGTGTTTTGAAAATATAATGAATTAAATTGGATAAGTCATTTTTATGATTCAGAATTGAACCGGGTTGCAAATTTAATAAGTAAACCAAAGATTTCCATTCAACCCATAAATGATATTTAATATATATAATTATAAATTATTTGAATTAATTTAATTTGATTTATATTTTGATTTTGATTATAAATACTAAATTATTGGTTTTACTTTTAAATTTTTACCTTTTCATAATAAAAATTTATTCTAAAATGTTGTTATTTAAATATATTACAATTAAAACTTATTATATAATTATGTTACTAAATATTTTTAATTTATTTATTATTTTTATTTAAAATTTTAATCTTTTCATAATATTATTTATTGTTTATTATTATTATTTGTTTGAGAAACTTGTTTTGAAACGTTGTTGTTGGGACTATATTGTGATTTATAAAAATTAATTATTATATAATTATGTTCTAAATATATTTAATTTTATTGGTTATTCTTCTTAGTTAATTTTTTTATTTAAAATTATTCTATTATTTATTTAATCCATGTTAAAATTTGTACTCTTCTCAACATGTCTATAACTATGAGTTTACACATTTAGTGAGTTAAGTTTGGTAAAAAAAAAAAAAAAGGATCAGTGAACCACACATATAAATTAGATGCTTTAAATCGATAATCTCCATCTAATCTGATCCAAATGTAGTTTTATTATTAGCGTTGTCTATCTGCCGTAACTTGTTGAAAATTGATAAAATGATGTCAAATCAATTTAATCCTAATATCAAATTTAATTGATTTCAAATTCATTAAATGTTGATTAATAATCTAACTAATTATTGATTTAATAAATTTAAATAATTTTTAATATATATTAAAAATATTTAATATGAATATAATATTTTTTAATTTTATGAATCAACCGTATAATTGATAATAATTTATTATAATTGTTAAATTTTAAATTCAATCATAAATTAATAAACTAAAAAGTCTAAGAACTAATGACTTTCTTTTTTTTATGATTTATGTGATATTAACTACATGTATTTGGTCATATTTATATATATGTGATGAATACATCCATTTTTTTATTTTTATGCTAGCTTGAGGAGCTAATTTTTTCAATTTCGTCTCTCTTAACTTTTGAAAATTTTTTTTAAGCCTCTCTTCAACGGTTTATCCAAAATAAAATGATATAGATTTCTATAAAAATCACAACTTTTTAGACCGTAAATATATCAAAAACGCAAATTACAAATTGTAAATTTATCAATATAATAGAGTTAGCAATTAATTTATTAAATGATATTCGCACAGATGGCATTATTATTAGATGTTTGCTGGTGATAATGAAAGTTACAACTGAGTAGCTAGTTGCTTCCCTACCCTACCGTTTTATGAGCCGCACTTCTTCATTGACGCATCATGTTTTATAGGGCCAGGGTGAACCACTTAACATTAAATAAAATTTTCTACAGCCTAATATTATAGGTCAATATTTGGTTTGGTTTACTCAAATTCGGTTTGAATTTTTATAAAATCAAAATATGTTGAAAAGGAAACCGAATCAAATCAAAATATTTGTTCCTGAGGTTTGATCAAATTAACTAAATCATCCCTACAGTTTAGCAATATTAATTAATGATCCTTGAAGTTTACCTCCGCCAAATCATTTGATCATTTTGTTTATTTTCTCCTGATTTATCTGTTAAAATCTTAAAAAAGACTAAAATATCATTACACTTAAACAAGAAAAATACTAAATCAACCTAGGTTATTTGCTTTATAACGAAATGATAGTTAAGTCTTATCAAATTTACAACTGAAATCCTGCAAAAACAGTGAATATTTTTTTTTTAAATATTTTTACTATTCATATGATCCTACACTCATTTCATTAGTTGCTGTTTGTAATGGAATATATAAAATAACTTATTCTCTTAAATATTGATACCAAAAATTAAATGCCTATTATTTTTATTGAAATTAACTCGATATATATTAAATAATCA